ATGTAGTTCTCGAAGCTGAATTCAAGTAGTAAGCGGCTCTACTGTTTCTTCGGTTTTTCTCCTGAAATTTTACCTGATTCGCTTCTAAGTACAGATTTATCTGCTTATTCATTTTCCACAATCTTGCTTCGAGAGCATTCCCAGAATAAATACAATTCGTTGAAGATTCTTCTCTGACAGCAATCTTATCCGCAACTGAACCCCGTGAATTATCAATGATCAGACTCAATTTATTTTTTTTAGGAACCCTTGCATCCAAGAACATATATTTCTCTTCTCCAAGTAGGCCATCGGATGCATTTTCCTAGTAGGAAAATGAGTGAGCGTTGAATCCCCACACCATTTCAAGATATAAGATGTATTCTGCCCAATAGTTTGATACATAAAATTGGTTTATCCTTTCCACAACTTCACCCTTGTATCTGATTTTTGATCCCATCATCACTATTTTCTACTTTCTGTACAAGATAACCAACTGTATCTCGCAATTCTGACATATCTCAGGTCAACTAACGCAAAATTTCACCCAATATAGCAATTTCTTCTACTCTATCGTCTTTCACTACCCCATCCTGATTTATTTGACTATCAATTTCTCTACGATCTTTATCTCAAGAAATTTCTCCAGCGCTCCTACCTCTAGGCATCATGAAACATCGAATAAAATACCTACCGTTTTTTTCATCCTAACTATATATAAAACTTCCATTGACTCAATTATAACAGTTATTATTAACTTCAGGTTCCTGTGTTCCCTTTCTCCCGAATAGACCACCAGACAAAATGGAGTGAATCGCTATGAATTCAACGGGCTCACCAACTACAATGTCCTTCAGCGCCTCGTTAGATTCACGTGCCCTTTCTTGTCTACCTCATGTGTGGTTTCGCAGAATGAAGAGTTCATTAAAAAAAGGATAGTTATGCTTCCAAGCACGAACCAGCAACTACAGCTTTCAATACTTTGCTCTACCACAGTATGTTGATATCAGTACAGAACCGTGAATCTTGATTTTTTTTCTCCACGTTGGGCGCCAATTTATGCAACGAAACTTCTTTCTTCCAGAGTTTTTCAGGAATCAATGTTTAACAAAATCGATTAAATGGAAATATCCGAGGAATTCCAGAGTTCATTGATGAAGAGTTACCAATTCTTCGGCACAGTCTTCTTTACAGCTCCTTCCCGGTCAGTTCAATTCTTCGACCTCCTTATTGTTTCTTCATTGCCAACTTCTTTGATTCACATTCTGGTTGATCACATATACCGTGCGCTATTCAAAATTCTTCACGATATGCGGAGGGAGAATTCGTGATTCCTGCAATCTCCTTTTCATTGAACACAAGATATCAACAGTTCAAACCATCTTTATGATAGGAACTGTGTGCCTAATTGGAAAAATATCTAGGAAAATTTGGCACTACCTCTGTACATCATGCCACTCAGAGAGCTGATAATATCAAGTTACCAATTTCATCATCGGCTCTAGTTAGTGATTCAATAATTCATGTAGGCTGTAAAATGTTCTAGCATTCTTCAAAATATACCAGAGGAGTTGAATTCAATATTCGAACAGAGAAAAGAATATCTCTTCGGTTGAACCCTGTAAAAGTTCACGAAAGTTTTTCAATGATACATTCTAATCATAAAATCATTTGAAATAGAAATATTTCAATATGTTGTGATGAGTTCCTTATAAACTAGTTCTGTTTTTAATTTTATAGAGTAGTAGGAGTGCAATTTCAGCTCCTAGGAACTAGAGTTTTACTTCAGCTCTTAGGAACTGAATATGTTGCCTAGCAACATATTATGCCTATTTTTGTGTCAGTAATAGAAACGTCAATTTGAGAGCTAATTTTGGTATAAAAATGGACGACTTTTGTGTCGGTTGCAGAAAGAGCATATTATCTCTCTCTCTCTTCCTTCCTCTCTTCCATTCTCACCTAGGATGGACAAGAAGAGGAAGTTGGTGTTAAAATTTATAGATGACGTAATTTCAAGTAGGTACCCAATTTGCTACGTGCTATAGCTACACAACGCTGACTTCTTACGAGATTTCAAAAAATGTCCCAGTCTCATTTAATATTGAATGTTGAGGGCGTTGAAACCATAGTACGGGTGAGTCAGGAATATATGGACAATGTCAGACCTCATTCCACACGATATTTCGAGTTGAACAGTCTATATTGTGTTATAACTTGAAGTGCAAATTGTTTGAGATATTCGTTCTTGAATATTCGAACTCAATTCAGCATCACGATCCCTCTCTTGGAGAAATAGAAATATCACCCCAAAACATATCTTTGGTATATCGCAATTATCTTAGGATACTCTGAATATCGGCATATGATATGATATCACTACAAGGAGAGTGTCTTCATCACTATTCACAATGAAACATATAACAATTCCATTTTTGAACTCTTATGGCACTTCCTCATTTCCCAAAGTTAATCAATCAAAACTTCAAAACGAATGCAATTACAAAACGAACAAATTCAATGTTACGGAATTAACAGATTGATTTTCGTTCTATCAAAATCTGTCAATTGTAACCTAAGATCGTGTAACACATTGATTTAGTTCAAGACTCGAGAGAAAGACCGCTTGAAGCACATTTTCAAGGACGACGCTCTCAAATAAACGCTTTCGTAGATAAAACTATATACCTATATATCAAAAGTAAAGCTATTTCTCCATTTATGTATGTATAATGTCCTTCGCTACCCGTCAGGTATCAAACTTCACACGCGGAAAGTAATGGATAGATTTGCTCCCTTCATATATTTATAACTATTATCAATCAATCAAGTTATCAATCGAAACAGAGACCAGGCAAGTAATATTTTTCGAAATATGATCATTTTTTATTGATACTTTTTAAATTCAGTTGAAAAATGTCCAGTGATGATGATGAAATTATTTCGAAACCTCCAGAAATTCTGGAAAGAGCACACTAATGATGTCTCCTGGAAGATACGAAATCGCTATCAAGAAGTTCATGCATTGGAAACTCAGGAATAATATCACGTCGGTTTCAGAAAGTATAACTCCCAAATACTGATGCACAGTGACTATGGATGATCATCGTGAATGGTATTTTATTTGGTCATCAAATGTGTTTCAGCGGCTCGTTATGCACTTCACAAATAGAGGAATACAATTATCGTAATTTATATCTTTCCATGCAGCTAGCTCAAATTAACTGAGAACTCATTCGTTTGTTGTGCCTCGAAATAATATCTGTACTATCATGAAGAATATATAGTGTTGAAATGCAGGAAGTATTGTACATTTCTCCAGTTGCGAAACAATAACGCGATTGTGGAGTTACAATATAAAGCAATTACACTTCATGCGTAATGAGCGTTCAACAACTATTATCTTATATATAATATACTTTTTTTACTCACAAAACTGAAATGGCATTTAGCGTACGGATATGTACCACGCTAAATGATCGATTAATCACGTATTGTCGATCTGTGATTTATTCAAAATATTAAACACGTTACCATAGCAACACGATTTCTCAAACACATTACCATGGCAACGCAGTTCATTAAACACAAGTTCAGAAATTTGAGACATGTGTGGCCTGTCGATTGTATTAACATCTCAGTATTAACTGTCAACTGTTATTTTCGAATTTAGTATCGGAATTATTCAAACAATATTCGTTTGTATCAGAATTCTTCATTGAAAATATATGCCAAAAGTAGACGGAAGTGGAATCGAAGAGAATGTTCTGGTACTTTCATATCTCCAAGAACTGTTAAAATGAAGCATCTATCTTTGAGAACAAATTATTTATTGTGCGCTAAGCATGACAATAAACGTGAAACAAAGGTTAGTAAGCAATGGACTGGACACATCAACAACCAATATCACTTATACGTGTCTCGCTGGTTGCATGCAGTTGCATGTATTATGTTCTCAATTCCCATTCCTTTCGAATTATTTTGTAGGTTAGCAAGAATTGCAGGTATGTTAATGTTATTTTCGGAGTTCGTATAAAAATCATAGTATGTAACGCGTTTATAAACTCTTCTAGACACTCGTTTATTAAACACTCGCTCTGCTCTGCTCTGCTCGTGCTTGAACTACTCGTTACTAGAAGGGCGTGTATAACACTTGTTACATAATATACTATTCTCTACTCACATAACTAAAATGGCATTTAGCGTACGGATATGAACCACGCTAAATGATCGATTAATCACGGATTGACGATCTGTGATTAATTCAAAGTATTAAACACGTAACCATGGCAACACGATTTCTTCGGTAATTTGAGACATGTCTGGCCTATCAATTGTATTAGCTGTCAACTGTTATTTTCGAATTTTGTATAAAAATCATTCGAACAATTTTCGTTTGTATCAGAATTCTTCATCAAAAATTAATGCGAAATGTAGACGAAAGTGAAATCGAGAAGAATGTCCTGGTGTTTGCATATCTCCAAGAAGTGTAAAAATGAAGCATCCATCTTTGAGAACAATTCATCCATTCTGCACTAAGCATGACAATAAACGTGTAACAAAGGTAAGTAAGCAATAGACTGGACACATCTATAACCAATATCACTCATACGTGTCTCGCTGGTTGCATGCAGTTGCATGTATTATGTTCTCAATTCCCATTCCTTTCGAACTATTTTGTAGGTAAGCAGGAATTGCAGGTATGTTGATGTTATTTTTGGAGTTCGTAAAAAAATCATAGTATGTAACGCGTTTATAGACTCTTCTAGACACTCGTTTATTGAACACTCGCTTCGCTCTGCTCCGCTCGTGCTTAAAATACTCGTTACTAAAAGGACGTTTTTAACACTTGTTGCATAATATACATTTGTATAACACGAAATAGATATAATTTCACTCTGTTCGAAAGTTCGATTCATCTGACTTACGTGAAACTGGTGTTGATTGTGCTGTGTGATTGTACTGCCTACAAACTAATGGATATCTATCGACACAAAGTTTCCATAATCATGTTGAATACTCACCCAAATAATAATATGGAAAATATGTTGGCTCCATCTCTAGGATTCGGATAATGTTTTTCTTCCGTGGGATCCATACACGATATTATAACTGTTATGATTCTTATTTATCACCTTCCCGCGCTAGCAGATACACCTGAAAGTGGTTATAATCATTATTCGATACGCTATGTGCTCTCATCGACGTCACACTCAATCACAATCACAATAGCAGAGATTTTTGGTGAGATTATGCAGTAGCGAAATAATGATTTATAGATTAAAAATCACGTCTCTGATATGATAAGAATGAAATAATAATGACATAATCTGAGTGTTCTTATGAAAAGTATACACCCTAGAAAGCATAGGTACTTGAGTACTTGAGTACTCGAAGAAACAAGTAGACAACTTAAATGCGAAAACTTTCTTGGAAATCAACCGATTTTAAATCACAATACCGTGCCCGAAAGATGCCTCCCTTCTGTTCTCAAGTGATGACATACCAAGTGGTCAAAAATAGTGCTAGTGCTAATCAAAATAGTTTAGGAGCTCCTGTCTTACCTTCTGCAAATCATATTCCTTGGATTCTCAATCCGATGTAACGGAATATCTTTCAAATTCTGGAACACGTTCATATAGGATCTCAACTCATTCTAGATCATTAGGAGTGCACGAAACAGAATTCCTATACTTCCTGTACATCGCTACTTCAAAGTTGGGAACCAACTCCCCAGAAGTCGAAACTTGTGAGGGGTTAGGAAGAGCGGGACCTACAGCTTATAGTGGAATCCGAACCACTTCTAGGGCATCAAGGTGCTGCCAGGATAACAACCATGAATAACACATTTTAATGAAAAATGCTCAGCCGATAGCCGCGAATTCGAACCGACAGTACCTCTGCATCGTGAACGGCTAATTTCAGCGCATAGTCAAACTCGGCCACGGAGATACTGTCCGATATTATTCAATATTCTGTTTTTGTTTAGTCAAATTCAGACGAAATTCGAACCATACTGCACTATAATACAATCAAATTTATTCCTGAAGAGAATATTCATCTTGATCAGCAGGAATCTCGAATAAAGTGTGATATTTTGTTTGTGAATAATCCGTTCATATTGATGCTGGTATACAATCATGTGCCTGTGTAGATTAAAGATTGTAGATCGTGGATTGATCGTGTAGGCTGACAGACTTCTTGTTCACTGTGACTCAGAAGATCTATTGTGATATCTCCCATTTATTTTTGGTCCTCTAATCTTAAACTTCTGATCATGCCTCGAATTTTCCTGACAGGTTGAATTCCGCGGTTCTGATAGCACCTTTTTTTTTTCATGTTCTGATTCCCACGAACAAGGATATTATGTTATGTTAAGAGAATATCGATAGTACAAAGAGTAATAACGTAGGAATTGGCGTTCTTTTTGAATTTCTGGAGGTTATATGCCTCAGGAAACACCTGCCTTAACAATGTGTTCCAGAGCTTCACTGTTTGTTAGATAAACAAGTCTAGTCTAAATGAATGTTCTGCAGGTCTCGAAAGTAATCACGAAGGGGTGCGAAGCCTCAACTCGACGGGTTGATCACGCAAGGACTGCCAAGGAAGGATCAATTGTTGATATTTGAGAAGAGCATCGTCCATGAAAATATTTATAAAATAAAGCCAGATCGCCAACTGTCCTACAGTGTTTCAGAAAAGTGAGTGAGTTTGTGAGCCAGGCATCACCAATGAGACGAATTGCCTTCTTTTGGACATAATTCAATAGTTTCAGGGTATGTTCGGGTGGTGCTGTACCCCAAATATGGGGACAGTATTCCAGGATTATAGATCATAAGCAGTTGACTGGAAGTGAAATAGCTCCTGGCCGGAAACAAAAAAAAACAAGTTATTGGACTGCACCTTGAGCAATTGATCTCACGTGATTTTTCCCAGTAAGGTCATTGCTGATAGTAATACCAAGCATCGAAATGGATGTCTTCAGAAGTATGGTTACTCCAGGTTACTCCTGACAAGCTTATATTTGGCACAGTGAGATCGGATTCTCTAGAGAACAGGCATGCTAGTGTTTTATTTGCATTGAATATCGGAACAAAATTTAGATCAAATCCTCATCAGAAGAGGAGGCAAGAAATCTGCTCTTTTCGAGGCAAGATTGAATTTTAACAAATTTTTATTTTGAATTTGATTTCATTTTATGTTCAGTATGATCAGAATTACATCCTTGTATATTAACCCCAGAGAAACCCAATATTGAACTTCAAAATATGTCGGCACGTTCTCATTCACAATGTCCCGTATTGCCAATAATTGGTAACGCCCACATATTCTAGAAATTCCTGATTTGACCGTCTTCCATACAAACGATGAGTTGATTTACATTTCATCATAACCAATGACAGATTGCCAATGAAATTATATCTACAAATTCACCTTTTTGCTGATTCATGTATCGAATTTGTATTCGGCTATTGATAGTATTAGGCGAAAAAATTCGCTATTTGCTGCATATAACAACTCTCTTTATGTATTGAATACATTCATGAGTTGATATCTTGGAAATAAAGTTCTTGAAACATATTTCAAGAACATGAAATCTTTTTCCAGCAAAGTGCTCATTATGGGTGCGTAGCGCGATGCCCAATTCCCACGATGCCCAATTCCCACGATGCCCACCTTCATGTAGACGATAACGAAGATTTCCGAAGAGCGCAACGTTGCCAGGTCATGAGAAAAATTCATCGTGAGAATTGGGCATCGTGGGAATGCATGAAAGGTGGGCATGGTGAGAATCTATAGAAAGTGGGCATTGTGGGAATGTATGAAAAGTGGGCATGGTGGGAATCTAAAGAAGGTGGGAATGGTGGGAATTGTGCATCGTGGGAATGCATGAAAGGTGGGCATGGTGGAAATCTATAGAAGGTGAGCTTCGTGGGAATGTATGAAAAGTGGGCATGGTGGGAATTGGGCATCGTGGGAATGTATGAAAAGTGGGCATGGTGGAAATCCAAAGAAGGTGGGCATGGTGGGAATTGGGCATCGTGGGAATTGGGCATCGTGGGAATGTATGAAAAGTGGGCATGGAGATAATCTAAAGAAGGGGGGCATGGTGGGAATTGGGCATCGTGGGAATGTATGAAAAGTGGGCATGGTGGAAATTGGGCATCGTGGGAATATATGAGGAGTGGGCATGGTGGGAATCCTAATTTCAGAATTTTTTTCTCGACCTGGCAACGTTGCGCTCTTCGGCAATCTTCGTAATCGTTGACATGAGGGTGGGCATGGTAGGAATTGGGCATCGTGGGAATAGGGCATCGTGAGAATTGGGCATCGTGGGATGCTCCCCCCTCATTATACCTAAGGGAAATGAGTATACATCAAATTTCAGAACTAATTTCTATAGAGCACTTGTTGAGTGAGTTCAGTGAGTTGTCGAGTAATCTTTGTATCTCAACAATGCCTAACCCAATTTTCGAAAGAATAATTCTTATGTTTGTATTCTCGAGAAGTGACCATCAATAACTCGAAGTATAGTAGAAAATCAACGCCAATTGAGGAAATCATTACACTCCAATTATTTGGTCTATCACGAATTGAAGAAATTCTGGAGTATCTCTGGGACCTCTTTCAGAAGCCTTCATCTGCCAAAAAAAAAGGAAGATTTCAACATCGTTACGGTGAATTACACTCCAGAAATATGTAACATTGATTCCACATATTACCCTTCGACCCACACTGACAAAAGAGTGAATCCAAGTTCAAGGTGTAGGAAATGCTCTTGTTACTCATCCTCAATTCAATTTTCTTTCGAATGATATCAGAAGAATATCAGATGCCAACTGAGAAGGTTGATATGTTAGCAATTTTCCGATGCGAAATTTGAAAATCGCACGGAGTCATATGGTGTACAATGGGATTTCCGATTTAACTATAAGAGTGAGCTAGGAATTCCAGCTATCTGTTCCAGAAACGTTGTGATTCAATGTTGAACGGTTGGCGTGATTCAAATCTTCTCGTGAGCTTCTATGCGCAGTGGCAATGATACTCAGGAAAAGAGATTGATCCCGAATATTATGATAGATACGTTGACATGAATGAGGTTGTCCAAACTCAGGATTTGAAGTCATAGTAAGAAAAAACAAGGCTTTCACTCGAAATGAGAGAGTTAGTGACGATTCATGGCACAATTCGTTAAATTGCAACAATGGAAATATTTTGAGTATATGGGGAATCAATGATTGATGAAAGGACAGCATACAAGATTTTGATCCAACTGGAAATTGAAAATACTTTCTGTTGGTCAATCGAGGAGGTGGTAAATTCATTTTACTTCATCATCAGGGATTTTACCTCTTCGTTCTTATAGAATTGGAATATGAGTATCATTCCAATATATGTGTAGTAGGACAAATCAGATGATTTGCATCAAAATGTCACTGCGTTCGACAGATTTTCATAACAGGAAGCCTGAAAGAAGAATCCGATAGCTTAATAGTGACACTTCGTTTATATTGGAGTTTGAAGAGGAAGAATATAAATATATTAAAGAAAATATCGAAGAAGAATATTTTGCATTTTTATGTTCAGAACGAAAGCAGATTCGTTTCCGAAACTTCCGAAGATGAGTGAAAATTTGATATGTTCACGATATATCTATATTTCTCGCCTTCAAACATCTTTCCATACAAAGTGTCACTGACAAGCAATCAGATTTTTTCAAATGTTTTCTGAAAGAAGAATTCGTTATTCGTTGAACGCGGGGACATTTCGGGGCGAATTATCCGATTTTTCTCACCACATATATTATTATATCGACTATTCCAGTCTTGATCTCGAGAACCAATCAGAATCGACCATTTTCATGGTTTCTTCTGTATTCTAGCGATATTTTTTGTTTATTTTTATCGGACTTGCTCTACCAATACAGAAGCCGAATTGACCCACACGTGACCAACTTACCTCGTCAGCGATAAAATTTTGACATCGTGTCTGGTCAATATTGCATTGGATTCAAATCTGAGACAATAACCTGAGTTCCTATACTTTATTTTATTCATTTAATTATAATTCGCGTTAGTGAGATATTTTGTACGAAAG